TTGATCGATGGATGACAGATGTGCATTGATTGATGAGGGCTGAGAAAGAACTGACTGAGAGAGAAGTGATCTGCTGTTGATCGATTCCATGAGGAATTGGTCTGCGTGCAGTCATACTTTTGATCAAGGAACACATTGACAGTACGTGCGAGAGGGAAAGGACTTAGAGAGTGATGTGATTGCTCAGATGCAGTCAGAAGAGTATGTGCCATGGCTGCACCAAGTGATTCGTCACCTCTATTTCAAAGTCCAGATGTCCCTCACGCAAAATCAAAAATGTACAGCATTGAGTCACGGACCAGCGCACGGTGGAGTGTCGCATGCATACACAAAATGCATTGATGACGCTCTGCGTCCTAAGTGGGTTCATTGAAAACCTAGCCTGACTCTCAATTGCTGGCTCACTCCTTGGGCATTGAGCTCAGAGGGGGCATTAGGCAAAGCAATAACAGCACAGCGCACAAATAGCGCAGCTGGCCTGATGCGGTCTCAGCTCGTCTAGACACATGTGTGTGTTCGCTCGCTGCACAAAGACAGACAGCTAGGTCGAGCCACACACCAGAAAGACATCACAGATGTCTTACAAAAACAAATGTGTCTGACTTACCCATTGCATGCCAATGCCACTGTGTGTTCATAGACACACAAGGCACAGAGCGACGCAATGGCAAAAGCGAGGGACGACTGAGATAGACCTCAGAATCGCCACAGACACTCATAGAGGTACTGTGTGAGGCGAGAGCCACCTATCTAGAAGATGGGAAGATTGAGAGCAGCCACGTGTGCACGGACATCACGACTCGTGAGGACTGTACACCCTCACGTGGCCGTGAATATCCGCATGGCCTGCAGTCTCTCTTGTGATTCGAGAAACTGACACAGAGCAGTTCTCATGCAGGGCTGTTCTATCTGACTCAGCAAGCTGGCATGCATGTTTGCCACGTCATGTGCTTCTAATGCCTCGCTCACCTATACGGTCAAGAGGGGGAGACAATATAAGCCAACACAGGCAAGCAAACCCACCATCACTGACCGTATAGACAAGAAAAAAGAGCGAAAAAGGCACACACAAAAGGCGCCGAGAAAAGGTAAGCAATAGAAATAAAGGCGCTATCGACCGTCAGGTAAGTAGCTGATGTCTGTGACAGCAGAGCGACCCAAGAATGGTCAGCTCAGGCTGCAGACACATCAGCACCATGGTCTTCAGGATGCTTGCGTGGCGCTTTGTCACAAGCCCTGAAGCCAACAAAAGAAACAAACACAATTCACATTGACACATGCTTACGTGTGTGTGTGTCTTCTGCCGCAGCCGAGTCTGGACCTAGAAAAGGACAGACAGGCAGGAAAGGCAGATAGATGGGGCAGACAGCCAGCCAGAACAATGAAAGGCACACTTGCATGTTCATGATCTGCATGTGAGTGCCGTACCAAGCCGCGTGGTGATGCGGAGGTGGTAGCAAGAGCACAAGATGCCTCCCATCTCTCCAAGCGTCATCCGCATGGCTTGACGAGCTGCTGTGAGCTGATAAACAGCCGAAAAAGCACCTCGTCTGTTTCTTTCTCGACGATCTCGCTGACCGCCAACACCTCATGATGAGCGCTCGGCAGCAACGACAAGCAAAAGCTGACGAGCGAGAGGGGGAGTTAGAGCGGAGACCGGGTTACACGGGCGAGATCTACGAGACATGAATTGCGATGGTTGTGGACCCAAGCTTGCGTGTCCATGAGACTTCCGTCGTCACTGAATGCTTCTTTCGGCTTCGTCACATTCCTACTCGCTACCCCGAGCTACTGCTGATACTCCAACTTCAAGCTCGCAGACAGCAGCCAAGCTCGCAGACCTTTCCCCAATCTCATTTGGGCTTCACGCGCTTCACCTTGTCCTCCCAATGCGGTAGGGAACCGCCGCAGTCTCGGGATTTCGTCCCGCAGCATCGCTGAACCAGATGGCGCTGTTCGGTGCCTCGTCCGGTTACATGAGCTGTGGCGAGACCTGCGCCTCATCGAGTTCAGCGCGCAGTCACGAGCCATGCATCTCTGAGGTCTGTCTCGTGGCGCCGGATCTGCTGCTCGCGCGAATGGCGCCGGCGCACCTCCCTCTCGTCCTTCGCAGCAAGAAGGCATGGGACAAATGGTACGCACACACGACCACTGACTGCACACCACAGCACGGCACGGCTATGCATGGTCATCGTGGATTCGGCTCATTCTGTGTGTGTCGTTGGGTGTGGTTGTCTGTCTGTCTGTCTGTCTGCAGGGAGCCACTGCTTCGGCTGTTGAGTTGCACCGGGAGGATTGAGCCGCCCATCCGCATCACGGAGGAAGATCTGAAGGCCAACCCCATCCCCCTGCAGCAGCTCGAGGAGGGGGGCGCCGATGAAGACGACGTCACCACCGCCGTGCAGACGGAGCTCCTCCGCACCAAGATCGGGCCCGTCCTCTGGCCGCTGGTGCACACCAGGAAGAAGGGCAAAGGCCGCAAGAAAAACCGACACACGGCCGACGCCCACCACCAGCAGCAGCTGCCCGTCGCCGAGTGCAGGCCCGACAAGCTCTTCAGCACCGCCGTCACACACACCATCTCCACCCGGAAGGACTGCCAGTCCCTCAAGTGCACGCGGCGGGGCGAGATCCTGATCAAGAGCCGGCCCTCGACCAATGACAACGCCACACGCAGGAAGGTCTTTGCCGAGCTCGAGCGGCGGCTGGGCAAGCCCATCCCTGTGGCGGACGGCAGCAGCGGCGTCTGGATGGTCGGGCAGCGCGGCGATTTTTGGCTCGTCTGCGCGCAGGCCATGCAGGGGTACGGCGGCAGCATCCGTGTCAGCCTCATCAACATTTTTGACGCGAGGGCGTTCGCAAGGGCCAGCGACGAGACCAAGGGCGACCCTCATGTGCGGTATCGGCAGGAGGGGCGGGGGCTGGCGAGGCGGCTGGAGAGCATGTCGCCGCCATTGCCTGGGCCCATCCTGGGTGTCTATGAGAGTGTGGAGGCGCTGCTGCGCGACCAGCAGGCGCTCTTCAACACGAGGGCGTCACACATGCGGTTCTGGGCGCAGAGACAGTGAGAATAAACCATGAGGGGGGGTGGGCAAGGAAGGGAGCATGCAGGAGCATTTCTCTGTTCGGGTGTCTGTGTGTCTGTGTAGGTCCAACAAGGCGCCTCGCCCCAGTGATGCGTAAGCCACACGACAGAAGAGATAAAGCTGTAACAGTTCTTGACAAGAACTGGCGTGTTTCCTTGTTTTGGGCACGTCAGGCCGTTTGTGTCGTCGCCCTCGGTGTCTGAGTCGAAGGGCACCCCCGAGGACCCCCCGACCACCCCCTACTCCCAGGCACCCTCATCCACACCACACTCATCATCGCGACCCCCGCCAGCAGAGCAGCCACAACCACCAGAACCCACCACGACGTGAGCGAGACAAAGAAAACGCATAGACACGCCTGAATGCACGACTTGTCATCGGCTCGTTCTTGTGTGCCAATGGATCAGGGTCCGCAAGCCCTCCGACGACATGGATGTCGCATCGGTGCAGACCAACCCCCACGCCCCCCACCGCAGCCACTCGGCCTCCCGGCTGCCCGACATGCCGGCATCGCTGTCGCCCCCACACTGCGACAGGAGGGGCGGCAGTGTGTCGTCCCTCTGTGTGGCCGAGGGCAAGTGGCGGCAGAAGGTCATGGAGGACGACCAGGACGCCACCTACCGATGGCTGGCACTGCGGGTGCTCAGCCACACCGTCGACGGCGAAGAGGTGAGCTTTGGGCCGACAGATCACATGATGGCACAGGGCCCACTGTGTGTGTGTGTGGTGGTGTTGTGTAGGCGATGGAGCGGCTTCGTGAGACGATTGAGAAGTTGGGCGACGAGCAGCGGGCGCATCCCGTGACGGTGCTCAAGGCGCTGTTCCCCGAGTACTCGCCCAGCGACCCCCACCGGCTCACACACTACCTCTGCCTCATGAACCTACTCGCCGTCGACGCACAGGTAACACACACACACACGCCCCGCCCAAGCACCGAAACAGCCTCACACTGTCCTCATTCATGGTGTCTCCTGTGTGTGTGTGCGTGTCAGGTTGAGTTCCCGTCGCCATGCCTGCAGCGTGTGGCGGAGCACCTGCAAGAGGCCCTCGACTACCTGCGCATCGTCTGCACCACCTTCCACCCCTCACACGAGAAGGAGATACATGCAAGGGTCGACGCCTACTACCAGCTCTACGGCAGGAACCCCAGAGACGACATCATTATTGATGACGACGACCCAGAGGAGAGGGAGAGGGAGGGTGAGGGTGAGGATGAAGACGTGGACCAGCCCCCGCCCTTCGACTCCATGACCGTCAGCCGGTCATGGCACCTCATCCGAGACGCGGTCGGCCTCTCGTTCGAGGTGCGCATCGCCGACCCCTTCAGCCAGCCCCTGTATGCCACCGGCACCACCCGCGAGACCCTCCGGCTGCCACTGAGGTCGCGGCGGCACGCCCACTCGTCGCCGCTTCTGGTCAGGGAGCGGGAGGGGGTGTGCGAGTCCCCTGTGTCGTCGGTTCAAGCTGACGGGGAGGAGTCGCCCTCGCCCCCGCCGGGAGACGTCATGCCTCGCGGCCGACGAGTCGACACACGGCCTCCCTTTGGCATCGCCGTCGAGCCGCTGACAGACGAGCATGTGGTCGCCAATCGTGCGCCATCCCCGAGACAAGAGCGTCCGTCGGTCCCGACGATGCCCGTGGTGGATGAGCATCGTGCGCCAGCAGACGTCGAGAGCCCCGTCCCCCCGCCCCCGCCCCAGTATGGCTTCTGGAGCCCTCCCCCCATCACTGTCATGTCGGTCAGGCACCAGCCACCCATCCAGGAGCCCAGCCAGCAGCCTGTCCCGCCACCCCTGGCACCGCCAGCACCCTCGGCAGCCGAGCGAGAGGGAGAGGAGGATGAGGATTCCGGCGAGAGCGAGATCATGAAGGCCTTCCTGCGCGAGTCAGCCGCTCTGCGGGCTGCCCGAGCAGCCAGAAGGGCGCAGGGCATCCCCGAGCCACACGAGCGGTTCGGTGCTCCCTCACAACCTCCGCCCCAACCACAGCAAGAGACACCGAGGCCAGCCACGGCCCCGTGCGCCAGCGCCGCCCCCTCATCAGGCAGCCATCGTGGAGCCGGTTTTGACGCTCATGTGCGGTCACGTGATGATGTCGGGCAGCCCAGCGACAGCCACAGTTGGCAGGGCGAGAGTCAGGAGCCGGCGAGGCCTCCGATTCCCCACCCGGCGACCATAGCTCCGTTCTACAGGCCGCCTCCGCCATCGACTCATCGCGAGGTCTTCACGGGGGCCCATCCACTGCAGCTCATGGACGGCGAGATGGGGTACGTCGACGACACACTGTCGATGACATCAGAGAGGCGAGACGGCGGCTATGTCGAGCTGGAGGTCATCCACCACGACCATGTCCACCACCATGGTGCATACGACGACCAGCCGTCAGTGGACGACGGTTACGGCCATGAGTATGAGCCATCCGTGACGGAAGACGGCTATGCCGACGATGTCCATGGTCATTTGCACGGCGACGAGGGGACGGTGGAGCAGCACGAGGCTGATGTGACGTACTACGGCGCTGACCAGGAAGAGTCTCACCACGAGGAGGAGGCTAATCACTACCATCCCCACCACCACATGGCTGCTGCTGCTGCTGCTACTGCGGGCGGCGAGCCGTCATACGGGGAGCCGTGGGGCAGGGGCGACGAGTCCGAATTCCGGTCGTCCTTTCCCCCATCGCACGTCTACATGGACTGGCCACAGCCCCCCGGCTCACCGCCGGATGCACACGAGCAGCAGCACCACCACATCGAGGGTCAAGAGGGTGAGGAGCCGTACCAGGATTACGACTATGCCGACAACGAGAGCCGCAGCAGCAGCAGCGGCGGGTCGTCGTCGAGTCGGCGGTGCCATTCCCTCCCCGACATCCTCGAGGAGGCGCTGGAGGACACCCTCTCGTCAAACGGCCAAAACGACCACCAACACCCCAGCGGGGCCAGGAGTGACGTCTTCTGCATCGACAAACAGACACAGACGTCACCCATCCCCCTGCCCGTCACGCCACCAGCAGTGACCCACAAGCAGCAGGCCACCACCACCTCCCCCCCGTCGCCATTCATCGGTGGTGAGGAAGGAGAAGAGGGCGATGACGGCGAGCTGCCCAACCTCGACCTCGACGAGTGCATCGCCGACGAGTCCGAGGGCAATGTCAGCGACGAGGTCGGCTCCGACTACCAGTCGCTCCTCGCGCCAGAGGAGCTCTCACTGGACGTTCCCGACGAGCGGCGGAGCGACGCGGGATCTGACGCCTCATGGTCGCTGCCCGTCATCCCATGGTCACGGCCCAAGGTGCATGATGCGTCCAGCCCTGATGAGAGGAGCGTGAGGGTGCCGTCCGAGGAGGGCGAGACGGCATCGGAGCGGTCGCTGGGCAACCGGCAGCAGCATCAGGAGGGGGAGGACACAGGGCGTGCAACGGGGGCGATGAGCGAGGAGAGCTCAGAGTTTTTCTTCCTCCTGTTGGGAAGGTGAATCAAGAGTGAAAGAGAGAGAGAGGGGCTGGTCGAGAGGGAGAGAGAGAGGGGGAGGGAGAGCAGCAGAGAGCGCAGAGGGTTCATGTGTTCTTGTGTTGTGTTGAGTTGATGCAGTCGGTGTATGTGTTGGTGTGGTGGTGTGTGGATGGGGCGGTGGGGCAGGCATCATTTTTATCGTCCACATATACATACATACGTACATACATACAAACGTGAACCGCACCGTTTATGAAACGTGATTTTTTCTCTCACTGAGAGATGCACCCACTGCCCTTCCAGTAAGAGAGACTTTCACACACCTGCCGAGTCGGTGTTCTGTGCAGTGCAGCGCCCGATGGGCCCTGTCAGTCAGTCAGTGAGGGACACGCCATGTTTTCTGCACACTCTTTCCTTCGTGTGTGTGTGTGTGTGTGCTTTTTCTGTCCATGAGCCGGCGGGTGGTCGGGCGCATATGCTTCTCTGGGCTTGGCTTGTGAGAGCCGATCCCCCTGGTCCAGCCAGCCAGCCACCCACCCAGCCACCCGCTGCTATCGCTGCTTGTCTTTTATTCGGCGTCTACCGTGTGTGTATACTAATCATCACATCACATCACGTACCAGTGAGTGTTTTCTTACAGGGGGGAGGGAGGGGGGGAGGGAGGGAGGGGGGATCTCTGGGTGGGCAGAGAGTGAGTGGCGCGAGAGTCCACACGTCTTATGTTTCATTATCTCATCATGGCATAGCATTGATTGATTGATGGTCCGTCCTTTTCGACACTTCTTGTCACATCACCCAGTCAGGCCATTTTGACGCTTTATGAGTGAGAGTGATGGACAGACCATCCAGACAATGAACGACTCCTGAAATGCAGATCTACGTCGCATGCAGCCCCACTGCAGTGCACAGGGTTCGGGTTGCAGGGTATGCAGATCTGGCCCCTCTGTCACTTCCCGCAACACATTGCATCATATCAGGACATCATCAAGGCTCCTGGCAAGGTCATCGTCAATGGAGATCATCATGGCATCAAGCACCCTTGGCTGAACCCTTCACGCGCTGCTGATCTGATCAATCTTTCCCTCTTCTCTGCTTCCCCCTTAATTGCGTCTGAGTTATGGTCTTCTACGAGAGCTACCTGATGCTATCAAAGCGGCTGGGCGACGAGGAGATCCGCGCCTTGTTCCGCGACCTCGCCAAGATCATCCATGCCAACGACGGCGTGCTGTTCCGCCTGAAGGACCTCGGCTGGCGCAAGACGTGCTTCCGCGTGGACAAGCCGCGTGTGGGGTTCAACTGGTACGGGCGGTTCTTCTACACGGCCTTCTCGGCGTCGCCCAAGGTGGTCAGCCAGGTGAGGGACTACTACCGCACCCACGCCGGCGTCCTGCGCAAGAACATCTTCAAGATGCACAACAGAAATATGTACAGAATGTAATGTAACGTAGGACGGGCGGAGGGAGGGAGGGAGGGGGAAGGGGGTGTTTGCAGTGGCTGACTTGTTTGCGTGTCAGAGAGGTCCACAGTGAGGCTGCTGTGGTCGGTGCAGCTGCGGTGTCTTTGTGTGGGTGGGTGTACACAATGGGTAGCTAATCGAGACGGTTGGCCTGATGTGTTGACTGCTTCTGATGTGTTGAAGCGATTTGAGTTATCAACAAGAGTCAGTGGCACTCGCCCACTCAGTCATGCAGACAACAAGCACACACGACAGTCGAGGCACTCGCGTAGGCAGACAGACACTCAGGCTAGTGAAACGCTGCTGCTGGTCCATCCATCCATCCCACTCGCCACACGTGCAGCGCCATCCATCCGTCGGCCGCTGTGTGTTGGATCTGTGTGTCGGCCTCCTTTCTGTCTGCCGGCGAGGCTCTGCCGCCCACCAACACAACACACGGAGGGGACGGGGCAGCAGACGCAGCAGACGCACCGCCGGCAAGGGAGAAAGCTCACACAGACTTTGCCTTCTCTGTATGTCGTCTCCGCGTCTTGACCCATATATGCAGAGAGCCTCTTCCTGCCTGCCTGCCTTTCGTCTGTCCCATCATTTTCTGGCTGGCTAAGTCGTTCATGTGGTGTGGTTTGGGGGGTGTGTGTGTGTGTGCGTGTGTGTGCTGACTGTTTGCCGCTACTTTGGCATGGACCGACTGGATGAATGGAGTGCGAATTAATTGATGCGCAGCAAGTCACACGAAGGCATAGGCACCACAGTTCACACAGCCCCTCCCTGTCTACTCAGATGGATCAAGATCGTCATGCAGATAACTGATACACCCCCTGCCCTGCCTGTCTGAACAAACGCACCCCGGAACACACAATCACTGCGTGCGGTGCGTACAAATAGAGACTTAAACCAGCACCCCTTCGTGGCACTATACGTACCCTCCCACCTGAAGTCAGCCCCCCTCCCTCCCTCTCTGTGCGTGTCTGTATGGCAGAATGCCCCTATGCGGCCACCACCTTCTGGCGGATGAGCGCAGCTGTCTGAGGGTACCGCTCATCTGGGCGGCGCTTGCAAGCAACGGGGGGCTCAGTGGTGCAGATCTCCATGCTCGAGTTGATGCGGACAAGGAACTCATCAGCCGCCTTGTCCCCACACAGAATCAAGATCGCCGCCATAGGTTTGTCGACCAGCCGCTCGTCCGCTTTGCGGCAGCCGCTCCACTGGCCCCTTGTGTGCAGCATCACACCTCGGGTGAGCTGGTACTGCTTGGGAGGTGGAATGATGAGGTCACTTGGGTGGGTAAAGTGGGGGCACAGACGAAGCTCAGTCCCGGTGCTCGACTCGTCCCTCATATGCGCGTCGATCAAAAAGACTATCAAGTCTGTGAACGAAGAGTAGTCGTACGCACGACCTGTAGACAGACAGCAGACATGAGACGATTCACACACTGTGCTATCTCTCTTGGCTGGTTTGCTCACGTTCGGTCGGCGGGTCGGGATCAGTCAAATCGATGGTGACGTACGACAGCGTATCGCCGTATGCTGGGCAGCCCAGATAGTCCTGGCCGTTGACACGGCTCAGACCCGCAAACCTTTCGCGGATACGGTGACTGAATAGCGAGTACTGGCGCACCGCCGGGGGCCGCGTGTCGAAGACCGCCCGGCTGCCCGCTCGCTGCAGATCTTGTGCCGTGATGGTCATGGGCAGAGAGGGGAGGAGGCGGCAGTTCCTGATGTAGTGGATAAGCGACACACACCGGTCCCAGCGGCCGCCCTCCTCAATCACGTACAGCAGCCGCAACAGATAGCCCTCCCTGGTTTCGACCAGCCGCAGCACCAGCTCACTCCAGAGCAGATGGCATACAATGGTTAGGCAGACGAGCGATGATAAGTTGCAGGGCACTACCCATCTTGTGGCGACAATGATGAGTGGCGGGATCACGCCCAGCTGAAGCAGAAACCTCTTCCCGCTCGGGGACCGAAGCCAGGCGATCCAGGTCCCAAAGGTGGCTGCAGAGCCGAGGAATAGCTTGCCGTTTGACAGCGCCACACGCAGCCTACTCACGACAGAGCGAGCGACGGACCACAGAAGGTCACATACGCCGTCCCACGCCACCCCAAAACTGCCGATACGCTCGCACGACAAAGGACGCCTCCCCAAGCAATCGAATTGCAAATAGGATCCCAAAAACCGGGGCCGCCCAGAAGAGAAGGGAGAGAATCATATATATCACTACGATAGGCCACTGAATCAAGTGAATCCACGGAAATGGAGTCAGCGGCGCCAGAAGGTCGACGACCAGCCCACGGGTCAGGACGAGGGTACAGAGGAGGATGGGCGTATAAAGGACGACGAGAACGATCCCGCCCACGGCAATTGGAACGAGAAGGGAGACCGCGTTGAAAGTGGACGTGATCCACTGCCGCAGGAGCAGCAGGACCGTCAAGCAGCGCTTCTGGTACGTGAACACGCCAGTGAGGCCCTTATCGCGAATGGCAGCATCGATGCGGTGCGTCAGGTAGGCCTCGTTGACCAGCTGGCAGCCGACACCCTCGGACGAGGCGCGGAACTGGCCACAGTCCTCCGCCGTGAGGGAGGCCAGAAGTTGCCTCTCCACATCCTCGGGCAAGCCGACCAACCAACACGCATTGGCGTCCGACTGATGTGGACAAACACACACACAGACCCGGCGCACGTGCGCAATGGATGCGTGTGCGGTCATGTGTGAGTGCTCACTCACTCACCGGCGGTGTCCCTTCTCCGCTCTCGTACGCCTCGCTGTCCACCGCTGGCTGCAGACCGTGCATACACACAGCCACCGTGCTGTTCGTGCTGGTGTTCGTCGTGCCCCATGGGCAAGGTGTTGCGCACCGGCATCTGCCGCGACAGAGGATGGGTCAGAGGGCGTGCATCATCATCACTCTCCCAGGTATCACCACACTCGAGAGCAGATCCGATCAGCCACGTGCAATGCGCGTCAGATCTCCCTTTTGCCCGGTTTTAACGCTCTGCGAGCTCCGATCTTCGCATTGCATGCGGCTGATCGGATCTGCTCTCTCCCCCTCGTTAAACACAATAACCAACCAACCCCCTCGAGTGTGGTCATTTGTTAACCGAGGACAATCATTGATAGCCTGCGCTACGGATCCCTGGGCCCATCCTTTGTCGCGGCAGATGCCGGTGCGCAGCACAGTGCCCGGCAGCACGACGAACACCAACACGAACACCGCTGTCCGTGTTAATGGTCTGTGGTTTATGCAGGATCTGAACTTACCGGTGGACAGCGAGACGTACAAGAGCCGAGAAGGGGCGCCGCCGGTGAGTGAGGAACAACACATAATGAGCGGAGGCGGCCATTCAATGTCTGCCTTGTGCGCGTCTGTCGGTCTGCGTGGGTGTGTGTACGTCAGTCGGGCACTAGTGCGTGTCATCTGGTCGGCTTGCCTGAGGATGTCGAGAGGCAAACTTTGGCTTGCCTCAGAGCTCACGACTGCGTCGCCCTTCGAGCCTCATCCAAGAGTGTCGGCTGCCAGCTCATCAGTGAGGGCTATGTGACGCACCGCCTCGACGCGGCCCTTCGCGAGAAGGGCCTTGATGGAGTGCTCACCTACCAGAAGCGGTGCGAGACGGTCCTGCTTATTCTGTTGCAGTGGATGGCGGCCATCTTCAGTGTGGTCTCTGCTATCGCTCAAGTTGTCGTGGGCTCAAACGTTTACTTCTTCGTTTATGGGCTCCTCCTCTACTATACCGCCAACCTGATAGGGCCCCCGGCATCCTTTCTGCTGCAGCCGCTGGCCGTGTTCCCGTGGATTCAGTGGCCCATCCAGGGGCTTCTCTCCCTTCTTGCCTGGGCGGTCCCCTTTTTTGTGATTGAAGCGGCCATCCGATGGCTTGGGGAGGCGTCCTTCGTCGTGCGAGCGTATAGGCAGTTCTGTTTGGCGTTTGACGACTTGGGTCACGGTCTGGGTGTGTGGATACTCCTCGAGTGTGCCAAGGGGAGGCTACTCGAGCGGGATTTGACCCCGCCGCTTGGCGTTGCGATCATGGTTGGCTGCTCCGCGTCTTATCGTCGGTTTGGTTGTTCGTAATGTGCGTTCTAATCTGGAGTGGGCTAATGGACGTGCTGCTGCTGATCCGTCGAGACACTAGGGTGAGTTATCTGTTGAGGGTGTTGTACGTCATCGAGGAGGGCGGCCGCTGGGACCGATGTGTGTCGCTCATCCACTGCCTCAAGAACTGCCGCGAACTTCCCTCTCTGCCTATCATCATCACGCCAGATGATCTGCGGCAGGTGGGCAGCCGGGCGGTCTTCGACACGCGGCCGGAGGCGGTGCGCCAGTACTCGCTGTTCAGTTACCGTATCTTCGATGCGTATGCGGGTCTAGTCCGCGCCAATGGCCAAGATCATGTGGGACCCTCATGGCTGACCCACCCCCTGACCTACGTAACCATCGATTTGACTGATCCCGACCCGCCGACCAAATGTGAGCGCAGCAGCCGACAGAACCCTCGTGGGATGGCGGAGAGATAAATGTGTGAATCCTCCATGTCTGCTGTCTGTCTGCAGGTGGCAAGTACGTTTACTGTTCGTTCACGGATATCATAGTCTTCTTGACCGACAAGCACCTGACCGACGGGATCCACTTTCGGCTGCGCCCCCACCACACGCACCCAAGCCAACTCCTCACTCCACGGCCCACCGAGTACCAGCTCACCCGAGACGTCATGCGGCACGCAAGGGGACAGTGGAAGGGCTGCCGCAAAGTGGTCTACTGGTGGGTCGACGGCGCAAGTATGCGGTGGCATGGGACGATCTTCATTCTGTGTGGGGACAAGGCGGCCGATGATTTCCTGGTCCGCGTTGACGCGCGCCTGAGGATCTGCACCACGGAGCTCCCCGTTGCTTGGAAGCGCCGCCCAGATGAGCGGTACCCTCAGACAGCTGCGCTTGTTCGCCAGAAGGTGGCGGCATAGGGGTCGGCTGGTCGGCCACAGAGAGAGGGAGGGAGGAGGGCTGGCTTCAGGTGGGAGGGAACATGTGGTGCGACAAGGGGGTGCTGGTTTAAGTCTCTATTTGTAGGCACGCAGTTATTGCGTGTTCCTGGGTGCCTTTGTTCAAACAGGCGGGGCAGCGGGTGGTGGCACTGGGTAGACAGGGAGGGTGGGTGTATGTATGTCTGTCTGTCTGTTGTGGTATCTGTTCGCTCGTGTGACTTGCTGCGCATCAATCAATTCGCATTTCATCCATCCAGTCGCTCCATGCCAAAGTGTCGAGAAACGGTCCACACACACACACACATGCACAAACCCACACCTACACCCCAAACCACACACACGAACGACGTAGCCAGCCAGAGAAAGAAGGCAGTCGGGCAGGCAGGCAGGCAGCGTCGCTCTGCATGCGTCAGCTGCTCTGCATGGGTCACCATACCAACAGACACGCAGCGACAACACGCGGAAGAGAGGACATTCATCCATCCATCCATCTGTCCGGCAGCTGATGTCAGGCTTACCGTATCCGCCGCTGGCATTGCCATTGCCCGTGGCGCCGACGGCAGCAGCTGTTGCCATGGCGAGGGCACCCGACGGCTGCTGCTGCTGCTGAGAGGTCGTGGCGGACTCGCCAGTGGCCACAGATGCCGTGGCTGCAAGACATACAACATTCGCTTTTCCATGGTAGTTGTCGAGCCATCTGCGCATTGATACCTTCGGGCTAAGGCTGTGCCATCGCGGGAACCAACGACCGAACAAGACGGCTGGGTTGTTTGGCGGCCAGGGTCGGTCGTGTCGGTTTTTCGCCGTCACTTTCAGCTTTTGTCGGTCCGGATTGCCTGCTCGTGTGTTGCCTGTCTCAGATCTCTTCAAACGGGGTCCTTTATCGACTTCTTTTCTCCTCGAAAAGCTCGCAGACGGGGCGTAGGGTTCTGACAGCAAGGTTTGTCCTCGCTTGGATTGAAGACCCGTCTCTCTATTGCGTTGGCAGCTCTCGTGCGTGTGTTGCTTGGGGCCGGCCATGCCCATGATGGACCCGTGAAGGCTTGTACGGCAGAGATTGATCCTTCTGACCACGGTGCGTGTTCGGCACACAGCAACTCAAGAAGGGAGAGGAGGAGGGGAAGATGACGAAGGGAAGGACTCACTGACTGCCCATCTCTTGTCGCCTCTCTGTGTGTGGTCGGTGCAGCTGTTGGTGTCTGTTTGAGTGAGATGTCTGGAGGTCACGACAGCCACATGGCCTCGGCTGCCATGGCGGACGGTGGCGATGGCGACGCAGGTACGCCACACACAGATGAATGTGACACATCAAACACACAGCATCAGCGCCACACGTCTGTGTGTGTGTGGTCTTCGATGGTGTGTGCAGACGATGTAGCTGAGGAGGATAACAATGGCGGCGGGCAGCCAGACGGGCAAGAAGACAATGACGCTGACAGTGGTGAGTCAACAGCACGCCACACAGACCGACCATCACACGAGCAGTGTGTCTGTGTTCAGTCATGCTGACGAATGTGTTGGTGTGTCTTCGTTTCAGATTTGTTGCGTGAGGAGGAGGACGGCGAGATGGCCGAGGAGGAGGAAGGTCCACAGGCGGCAGCTGAGAACGAATCCGAATCGGTGAGTCGCTCATTGACAGCACCAACCGCCCCATGCGACGAGCGTCAGCAGTTTTCCTCCCTGTTCCTCTTTGTTGTGTCAGGATGGTGTGCAGGACGACAGTGATGACGACGGAGGGCCGCTGGGCGACGGCTTCGATGACGACGAGAGCGATGAAGACGACGGCTATGAGGAGGACGGTACGCCAGACAGACAGACAGACAGACGCGAAAGAATGTGATCCGCACACACATTCCTTCACTGTGTGTGTCGTGTGGTGGCTGTGTGTGTGTTGCAGGCCATCCAATAGTGGTGGCCACCACGGTCGAGGTGCCTGACGGCTGTTTGGGACCCCATAACACCGAGGCTCTATTCCTCCACAACACCGACGACCTCACCAAGGAGCTGACACTGGGCATCATCGGCCGCACCATCTAGGCCCCGCAGCAGGTGACCGACCTCATCAAGAAGGGCGCCAACTCGAATGTCGAGCCTCGGCTGCGGCAGAAGGGCAGCGGGTGTGCTGGCATTCAATAGTCGCTGGTCCTTCTCGCCATTGACAACAAGTCGGATCATGCCGTCCCGACCATCCAAGTAGATGATGGTGGTTATGACCCCCGTCCCGTGGCCCTGCCCCAGTGGTCGTCTGACGAGCTGCAGGCGGCCATCCTGACCGCACTCATCGACGGAGGCGTCGACCCCAACCACCTAGCCAATGACCAAGGCGACCTCGAGCTGCCCATTTGCTTGGCGATCGCATCCGGCAACCAGACGGCCTTCGACACCCTCATGGTGCGTCACATCGACCTGTACTTGTGGAAGCTGCCCCGTCTGCATCGTCAGCCTCCCCCCGAGTATCTGCAGCAGCTGCTGTCGATGTATCGGCAACTCATCGAACGAGACCCCACACTCGCAACCCAACGATTCGACAATGGCGAAAACCTGGTGCACAAGGCAGCCATCCACTCAAATGCGCACTATCCCCAGTCCTTCATCAACGCCTACCTGGACCTCATTACAGCGAACGGGGCCGACATGACGGCAGACGACCGCACTGGATGGACGCCACTGCACGAAGCCACAAGTTATGGCTCAGTCTATGTGGCCGGCTACCTCTGCCGCAAGCTGCCTGCTGCCGAGATCAACAGACGGACGCGCTACACAAACGACACGCCCCTTGCCATCGCTGCCAGACAGCTCGATTGCTGCACCCAAGGGCTGCAGGACCCCAACACACCCGAGCACATCAAGGAGCGGTGTCGAGCCGAGAGTGACAAGTACAAGCTGATCATCCATTCCCTGCTGCGGGCGGGGGCCGAC